CGCGGTCTTGTCTAGTTCTGCTAGCAATTCACCAAGTTTTCTTTCCAAAGCGGTTAGTTTTCGTTTCAATCTATCCTCGTTTACATTTGGGTTGTCTATTAAACGTTGGACGTCTATTTTTACCTTCGTAATCTTATCGTCTAATTTAGATATTAAATTTTGCAACTGACTTGTTTTATCCACTTGAATAAGACGTTTCAAACTCGTTAACTCTTGTTGTAGTTTGGGTTCGTCCACAAGATTTTTAATATTTCGTCTGATGAATCTTTTCACGTCATTTATTCTATTTTCAACATGGTCCTTATCTATTTGAATTGCGTTTATTTGATCCAGTAAATATTTCTTGTTCACGGCATCGTTTCCTGGAAACTTTAAATTAGTTATTTTGAAATTGTTCATATCGATATCCCCTTGTAAGGTGTCTCCGATTTGATCCACGAAAAAAAGTTTCGCTTTGTTTATAAACGCCGTAGAACTCATGGGATTTTTAGATTCTAGAGGTAAAGACCCTAATCCAAACTTGTTTGCCATTTTTATTGAGTTAAATTTATTATAATTTCTTCAATCTTTTCTCCCAAACTCAACCGATATAAAACCCAAAGCGACAGCTGTCCACACAGCTTTTGTCATGGCATTTGAATTTGAAACGTAGAACGTTTGATTGGTTTGCTAGTCAATTTCGTGATCTCTTCTGTCGGTTCTAGACCGAAAGAATCAAAGAAATAAAAGTTATTCGAAGAATCTTTGTGTAAAGCAGAGTGATGAACTCCTTTTTGATCCGACGTGTGAATGTTTGTGATGGCGTAAAATTTACCTTTCTTGTATTTCAGTTCATCAATTTCATCTCGCATGCAATAATAAAACGGCGAGACGTTCAACTCCTTGGCCCATTTCACAAGTTGAAAATTTGTGGTCGTGTCTTTTCCGTATTTATCCAGAAATGCATTCATTTTTTAAGTTGATTTTTTTTAGGTGTTTTTCGAAGTAGGCGGAAAGTATTGCTGAAGACCCAATTGACGAAATATATACGTAGTTTGTGTTTGAAAAAACTTGTATAACATTCCGATAAAACACATTCAATAATATTTTGAAGATAGATTTACATTTAAATTTAAAAAATCTTAATTTAAGAGAGCGTTAATGCTTGTCGACATCTAAATTTCTTAACCTTTCATCTAAATCTTCATTTTCGAGATTCATTTTTAAAAGTCAGTTTTTTGAAGTTCATTTTGATAAAACCTTCCTATGATTTGTTCTTTGTCTTGATCGATCAATTCATACGTGGGAGGTGATGTGTTGTTTACTTTATCAACGATGAATATCTCGTTAGTCCAATAGCCGACGTAACCTTT